TTCAGGTGGTCATGCCAGATAGCCGCGTCAGGAGCAGCGGAGGAGTGTGTCGTCATCGTCGCCGCGACGGTCTCCTTCGTGTCTGTGGAGGGGTTCAGAGAGGTAGAGTGGATCAGCGTTGCGAGGCGGCGCTGAACAATAGTGCGGCGCTATCGTTCAGTGCCGCCTCAACTCCACTCGGCTGCTCTTTGTCGATACGCTGTGCAGACGGGGCCACATTGCCCAAACGTCGCCCGTTATATAGCAGTGCTGTTGACCAATGTGTTCAGTTTTCTCGTCAACGACAAGCTACTTTGCCTCCTTTGTTGATAACATCTACCGTTAAGCATTCCCTAATAAGAAAGCGATTCTCTCGATGTAAACAGAGCACTTTACGGTGTAGCCACGGACCAAACAGTTTGATTGGGTGCTCATTAAGACAGCTTGTCCGTTTGGAAAACCGCAAGCCGTGTACACATGTTGCACCTTTATTGCAGCGTGTTTAGAATGTTAACACCTCGGCACCGTTTCCGAGTTTAGTGATACTAAGGCACGTGCTGCTGCTGTTCCTTGTGACAAACGTGTAAATAAAACAGCGAGTTTCATGAAGTTTGACTCGACTCCCAATTTAATTCGTACCGTCATTTTAAGCTCTTCCTTTCATCTTTTTATTCCACATACTGCACTATTATTGAGTTGAACAACGACCATCGTCTCCACTTACAGACATCCCATTGTCATGTACAAACTCCCAGTGTGACATTAAAGCCCCTTAAATACAATATTTTGACAGCATGGTGGGCCACGGAATAATGACGCAAAGGGCAAACCTGTAACTCTACCTGGGGCTAACTTCTAATATCAAATTTCAGTTGCCTCGGATTCACATTACAAACTGTTTAAAAATACACATTTTGCTCTCATATAATGCATATAATTAAAGTCATTTCGCAGTCTTTTCATGCCAAACTTATTTCACGCACTAGTCATACCCTGTACTGTATTACCATTCCTTTCTTGACTAAAGGTGTCCCCTTTGCAAGACATTTAATATCATCCCACACATCTCTCTCCCCTGGCTACAAAGGCGAACACTGCCAAACTACCCGTTGTAACGTTCTGGCCCTGTGCCCCTACTGGACATCTGTGAAAAAGAGCTTTGTAGCTCATTGGATTCATCCTCCAGCAGAAATAAATATTTATATTCTGATACCCATCTATATATAGGGAATGGTTAGTACATTAAAACAATCGCTGTGCACTCACGAGGCACGTGGCTTGACTCGTGCGTGTGAAAACCGTTTTGAGATTCGTGAAGGCGCGTGCATTGTATACTGTGGATTCTACATGCACAAGGACGAGACATCATTGATTTGTGAACGGAATTGTGAACCACAATTGGCGGCAATGCATTGCATCGTGAAATTATGGGACACACTTGTCCATCCTACTTACAAAGCATGCCTCGCTAATCACCTACCCACCTACCTAAATATATATCAACTTGCCTATCCATACATCTATCCATTTCCCTACACACCTATCCACTTACCCCACTACCTAGCTGCACACTTTGCATTGCAGGCCTTCAGGCGTTTACTCAGCAAATGTGATGGTACATAAACACCCACACACCTTTCTACACACCAACAAAGGCTAAGATCCCCCATATAGGCTGAACCGACTGTTGGGGCAAGTGCTGTTCGCGAGCACCTATGAAGGCCGGCACGGCACACGAGGGGGTGGGTGGCCAACACCACGCCCGGCCGCCTTTGTCTCCCTAGTGGCGATGTTTACACATCGCACCAGATACTCATTTGAGGCTGAGTCAACACCCAGTCACCAACCCACATGCACGTCCACCCACGCAGCCACCCACATTTAACTCGGGGAGGAAGGTCCCAAAATGTCAGGATTTTTAAACAGGGCCCTGCTTCAATAAAAAAAAAAATTCAATGTATTTGCTCTGGTAAATAATAGTATACCAATTTTTGAGGTCTCAAGGGGAGGGGTGGTGAGGGATCGGTGGTAGGGGGTGAAGGATGGCGGGGGCATCTCCCTTGGTCCTGCCACAGCCAACGCTACCAAGGCCCCATCCCCCCGTACATCCGTGCCAGCAGGCGCCCATCCCGGCCCCGAGCGCCATCACGGCCGAAAGTCATCCCACTCGTGGGAGGGGCCCGCGGCCTGCGCGTCTTCGTCCTCCCCGTCCCGAGCCGCGCTCGTGCGCGCCTCCCCGCGGTTCAGCCGGCCCAGGAAGGACTCAAGCAGGCGCTTGTTGAGGTGGTCGGTGAGCGTGCGCTCCTCGGCCGGTCCGTCGTCATCGCCGGGCACCACCCCGGTGCCGGCCGGAGAAGCGGGGTCGGCGGCCAGGCCGTTGGGGTGACCGTCGACGGGGCCGTCGCCGCTGGTCCCGTTGGCAGCCGCCGCCGAGTCTGACCTCGTCTGTCCGTCCGCCTTCATCATCGCTCGCCGTCTGCAAAGGCAGAGAAAGATCGTGCGGAAACTAAATATCCGACAAGCTATTTTAAAAAAAACTACTTTTATTTCACCAGGTAAGGCCCACTGAGCTCTCCAGCTATTTATTGAGAAAAAAAATTAAAGCTCAAGGAAATGGCTGATCACGTCGAAAAGTATAGCAGCGTGATGTTGATTCTAAATGGGGAGGGGAAAAACCGCAGGACCCAGAGAAAAACACACGAGACCTGGGGAGAGAGACATGCACGCTCCAAATATACAAGCGTCAGGGTTGTGATTGAACCCACGACTTCTTGTATACCAGGAGAGGCATGGCGCCCAACTGATGTTGGGTGTGGTTGGAAAAATCATTGCGAGAGCTGGGTGACGCTGGCCCCGCTCCGACCGTGGGACCGTGAGCCCGAGGTACTCTCGCTTTACGGGTCCACGGTCTCAGCGATCCTGCCGGCTCACCGTGGCACAGGACCCGTCGGTAGAAGGTGCCCGTCCTTCTCTAAGCCCGTACGTTGTCACTGTGAGCCTCGTTACGCACGGACACAGCTCAGCTCACGCTGGCTCCATTACGGGTGAGCTTCAAGGAGAAGGCCCTCTACCTGCTGTGGTGAGATGTTAACTACATCGCCTGATATGCAAGAGGTCGTGCGTTCGATCCCAACCCTGACGCCTGTTGTATATTTGGAGTTTGCATGTCTCTCTCTCTCCGTGGTTGCGTGGATTTTTCTCCGGTTTTCCCCTCCACATCTACAAACGTTTACGCGTTTAGAGTATTTGGCGACTGCTATCAATGTCCACGTGATGATGATGTGCTCGCTACGTCGCTTCTGAAAAAGAGCTCTCTATAGCTCAGTGGGGCCTTACCTGGTAAAATAATAAAAACAGTAAATAGCAGTCGTACGTCTATGGGTCACGTAGACTTAAACGATCGAAGCAGCCCCCTTCTTGTCCATCCACTGCTGAATGTGCGCGAGTTCGTGGGGGTTATTTGACCATACTTCACCGCGCTGATCGATGCGGGTTGGTGAAAGTGGGGGTGCATAGACGCAGTAGCATAGTACAGTACAAGGCACAGCACTGTTGATGACAACGTTAAGTCTCCGCTGCAGCCTGTAACACCTGGTAGGGACGACTGTCGCCCTTCCAGGCACTAGCCAGGCTGAACGCCTGCTTGGCTACCTCAACTGGCATTCAGTCCATGGGTTCAATCACGACCCTGACGCCTGCTGCTGTATATTTGGAGTTTTCGTATCTCTCATCATCATCACGGTGCCTAGGAGATGTTAACTACCTCGCCTGGTACACAGCAGGTCGTGGGTTCGATCCCTACCCTGACGCCTGCTGCTGCTGTATATTTGGAGTTTGTTGTGTCTCTCTCCCCGCGGTCGCGTGGATTTTTCTCCGGGTCCTCAGGTTTTTCCCTTCCACGTTTAGAAGCATGGGTTTAAAGTATTTGGCTGTGAAAATTCCAACATGATGATAAGCCAACTTCGTTGAGCTTTCATTTGTGGCCAGGTCGCTTCTGAAAATACAGCTCAGTGGGGCCTTACCTGGTAAAATAAAAACAATTTTAGTTTATACTTTTGGGGTTAGGGATTTAGTCACGTGGGTTAGGGGAACGTTCGTCGGTACGTCAGTACGTTTTCATTTTATGGGCTTAAGAGATCCCCACGGTAAAATTATTAAAAAAAATCTTGATTTGAAGCTTTCGTGACTGCAGGAATCCATTGGTTCTTTCGGTAAAAGTCACGGAGGTAGAAAATCCTGCGTCAGAAGTTCTCCTGCTGTGTTTGTGTCACCTGATGACGGTTGCTTGTGTTGCGATCGAAACGTCGTCGTCTATTAATTTTCCACCTCCGAAAAAGTAAAAAGTTGAGTTTATCTTGAAGGGATCGGGCGCATTGATGTGGCCATCACAGACAGGCCCCTGACGCCAACAGTTCTAAACAAGTTTAAGACGACCAATGTCATCCGTAATGTAGGTGTGGTTTTTTTTTTGGGGTGAGATCGCGTAAATGTGTCGTTAAACCCGCCACCACCTGACACAGCCAATTAGTGAGGTTTGCCAGCGGCAATCAGCGAACGATAATGAGAGTCGTGGTGAGAGAGAGAGGGGGCGGGGGGCGCCCTTTGACGACTAGAGGCGCAGCCCCCAGGTAGTGGCAGGGGGCGACACGGGGGAGAGTTGCTCCCAAACCGTCGAACGCCAAATGTCGGACACTGCCGCTTACCGCCCGCTCGACGTCAAACTGTATTTGAAGAGTGTGACGGCGCCCTGCGACGGATGAAGACGACAACTTCGCGGCCGTGAGGCGTTGTGACCGCGACTGCTGAGCGGGCGACTGGGAGGCGCTTTCGACGTTCCGTGTCCGAGCGCCAGCGCCCTCGCAGCGACTTCGCGCGGGGGGGGGGTCGTGAAGTCGCGGGCGGCCATCTTGCGTAGGGGAGACGCCGCGGCTTGACGGGTGGAGAGGGGGTGACGTCATTTCCGTTGTAGCATCGCCCCCCCTCTCCGCTTACAATACCCCCCCCACACTCCCACCCCCATGACGTCGCCTCCCTGACTACCATGGCCGCTGTCGCCTCACCTCTCGAAGCAAGCGCGTCACTCATCAAGCGTTTCACGCAAATTATTTACTAAAACGGATTTGCAAAGGGAGATTTTTAAAAAAAAATTTAAACGACATCACAACAATGTGAATATCTTTTAGACGCTTTATTGTTGCACAAACAAAAAAAAACACCCAATCTGTTGGCAGGCACCGCTTTGGGGTCCCTGGGGTGGGTGTGTTGGGTGACGCCGACTCGCATCGTGAGCGACTCGGCGAGGCCTCCGCCTCTCAGCGACTTCCCAGTTGGACTCCCGGGGTAAGGGTTCGCGAGGGTCCGCGAGTCTCACTTCCCTCAAAACACCCCTCCGCGCTCGAACATCATTACCGCAAATTAACCGACTCCCAATTCACCTCTCTGAATGTTGCATTCGAGGCGCTACGGAGAGGCGCCTCGCACGAGCTATCATTCATTCGCGCTGCATCATTCGCGCTATGCCTGGTTGGGGCCACTCTGATGCCTGCGGCGTTCCGCAAGCGATCCCGGCCAGAGGAATGTGGAGTTACCGCTGGCGTGGATTAAGGAACTATTGTGTAGAATGGGTGCTGCCCCGGAAGCGCGGTCTTTTTAGTCGAGGGATAATATGCTGTTGGAACAATCAGGAGTTGAATTTAATGAGTGTATTATTATAAACAGCAGCAGCATTACTAGCACTTATCAGTACGACATATCTGACGATATCATCATCATCAGTGATGTATCATCGGCTTCTTAAAATATTTCTCAATTCGATCGTGCCGTTTGTGGCTGGTCGCATGGCGTATTGGGGCCTTCGGGCCTGTGCTCGGCAAATAAACAAACCCCAGCATCATCACCAGCATCGTCTTCTTGATCAGTCACTCGGGCATCACGGCTATCGTGGTCCTTTGTTAAACGTTATTATACTTTGCCTGTGGATGTCAGAGCTCCCGTCACAGGAACGTGGAACTTCCACCGCGCGATAAATACCAGTTGTGCGGGCAATGGTCGGGCTGCTCAGCGCGTTGTGTGCGTTCGGCAGTGGTTTGTCCACGATACAGGAGGTTGTTGTGTTGGGGGGTCGATATTGTGTCGCGAAAGCCTACGTGTTAAACTGACGGTGCTTTTGTGTTGTTAAGACTACCGCGGGTGTGTGTCACGGGGCTGGCTCCCGAGTGCAATCCTTGTGGGGGGGGGGGGGTCATCCATCACCAGCAGAGACAACAGCGGGGTCGTCGTGAACCTGAGCAGTCATCGGAATCGCGTTGGCTCAGTGGCCAGTGCCGAACCAGCTCACAGCTGAGACGCGCCTGGGTTTTAATCACCGGGTTCCTGCCACCCACGATTGGACCGGCCCTCTCGTGTCTTAGGCAGTCGAGGGTCTCTTTCCCCGGCGCTCTTAATGATTCGCACAGAGACCCCCAGGTTTAAAGACACCCCTAGTCTCACATAGAGACCCACAGGCTCGATTGGCGACCCACTGATACATATATAGGACCCATATTTTGACATCGAGGCCCGTTGTTTCACATATAAATCCTTAGTTTCACATGTAAGTCCATAGACTCGCATAGACTTGCATAGAGACGCATAGACTCGCAGAGACCCATAGGCTCGCATATAAATCCATAGTTTCACAAAGAGGTCCATAGACTCACATAAAGACCCATTTATTTACATAGAGACCCCTAGACTTACATAGGTTTGGCATAGAAACCCATAGAATCACAGGAACCCATAAGTCTCACCGAGGTCAACAGTCTCACATAGAGACGTATAGAGTCGCGTAGAAAGCCATAGACTCACAGAGACCCAATGTCTCACATAGATACGTATAGAGTCGCGTAGAAAGCCATAGACTCACAGAGACCCATAGTCTCACATAAAGTCCCACAGGCTCTGAGACCAATTTGTGGTTCTCAATTCAGCCTCCCATCACCAATGACTGCATACAAAAATGACGTCATCACGTGAAATTTGGTTTCTGCGCTTAATTATAAATATCGGTTTGGCTGTCATGTAACGTGGATATCTGTCAGCCCCGTGATGTGTGATTAAGAGGTCGCTTGAAAAGATTTTGGGAAGCATTTTGCGTCATCTTCTTCCGTGGGCCATTCTCTTAACGCAGGGGGCGATGCATTGGCCTCTGAGAGCATTCTGATTGGTTGGTTTAGCCTCATGACATCATGCTGATTGCACCCTCGGGATAGAATTTCGAGACAAAGACAAACTATATAATCATGAACAGTATTTCTTATATTCTTGGTTCTTTCGGTGAAGTCACGTAGATGGGAAACAATAAAATAAAAAAATATATATAAAACAATAAAATTCTCACGACGTTTCGACTGCAACACAAGCAATCATCATCAGGTGTGAAAACCACAGCAGGAAAATTTGAAAAAGTGGCGTTTTTTGTTAACGTTAGCACCACGGAGAGCGATTTGACAGTTTCTTCAGATGGACGAGTCCATCTATGTTCGGAAAAGAGGAGGGGGGAGACGAAAATAATGGATGCGGTCTGAAAGCCACTGTAAGCGTGAACAATCAATTAAGAACCGAAATGGTTTATCAAATCCTTCCAATGATTGCTAAGCCAGAATCCATCTTCTCGGTTGAAATTGTCTCTGTGTTTGTATATGTGGATAGCCTCATGAACGAATCTCTCATGGTAGCCAGATGGCTTGCAGAGAACCTCTGTCTTGGAGAAGTCAATGTCATGTGAGCCTTCTACGTGGTGACTTTACCGAAAGAACCAAGAATATGAATCCCTGCAGTCGTCACGAAAGCTTTAAATCAAAATTTAAGTATTCTATAAGAAGGTAAAGTATAAGCTAGCATTGTTGGCCTTAGACCAAACATCCGGACTGCACTCATTAGTTACTAGATGCTAAGCCTGGATGTATGTACAAGGTGCTTCAAAAGAATGTTAACACTTCTAAGAATTTGCAACAATACCAAAAGAAATGTTCCTCCGGGCTCTGGAGACCACCTGGAGAAGATTCCAGGCACGTGTTGACAATGATGGCGAACAAGTGGAGAATCATTGAATTTTTGAAGCTATTAAAATTACATTTGTTATCATGTTACAGTGTATTATCCATTCTTTTTCCATTAAAAACGATAGTCCCATATAAGTTTACATTTATTTTAAGCACCCTGTATTTATCTTGAACTTCTTTCACACCGTACATAGCCAACCATGCTAATCGGAGATGCGAGGCAATGTCCCTGCAAGGTTGAAGACCGTGCATAGTTAAGTGCTGTACTATACTTCTATGCTCCTGCCTTCACCAACCCGCGTGGTGACTTATGGTCGTATAATCCCCCACGGTCCGCAAAGCGTGGCAGGGCCCTCACCCAGCAGTGGATTGACACCAGGGCTGTGGATGTCGATGGGCACTTTGGTAAAAGAGACGATGGGAGGGAGATTTAATGGACGATCGGCTGGATCGATACCCCGGAAATTGTCAGTTAATTGATATTTAGCAGTGAAATTTTTTGTGCTTATTTCTTAATGCAGGACCACGCACCACACTTTTCGGAAGTTTCTAGACCCGCCTCTGGAAGAAGATAAACGTTTACCCTGTAATAATGGTAGCTTTACAAACTCCCCTTTCGCCTCCCTTCCCCATCATTAACTCCATCCCTCTCTTTCCCAACCTCCCTACCAATTCATCATCGTGCTTACTCATCATTAGCCACTCATTGTTTATTTCATGCATCGTCGTCATTCACGTAACTACCACCCTTCTAATCAACTCATCTCATCGCACCATGCTCTTCTGCCTTACAAACAGTTCCAGTAAAACCTTGGATTGCGAGTAACTTGGTCTGCGAGTGTTTTGCAAGACGAGCAAAAATGTTAAATAAATATTAATTTGATAAACGAGCGAGGTCTTGCAATGCGAGTAGTACGTATACGCTTTGTCTGCCGAGCGTCACGTGATCACAACTGATGTACGAGTACTTTGATATACGAGTGCTTTGGATTACAAACAACGTTTCCGGAACGAATTATGCTCGCAATCCAAGGTTTTACACTGTACAAGGTTTTACTGTACATTCTTTGTTCAGCGCCTTGGTCGATGTGCTATTTGAATACAAATGAGATTATCTAACGATGAGAGGAAACGGTCACTCGCATCGAATGTGTCTCCGGGGCGAACGCCACTTTGCCGCAAGCGTGGCACACCGCAGCAGCTTCTCCCTCGTCTGCTCTCACCCATCTAGGGCCTGGCCCAGGCTGCGGTCGGCAGGGAGGCGATGCCAAAGAAGTTCTCCACCGAGAACACCAAGGCGGCGGCGGCCCGCGTCCGCAAGGAGGAGGCCAAGGCGGTCGCCACGGCCAAGAAGCAGAAGGAGGTGGAGGATGCCCTCTGGGTGGAGGATGACAAGAACGTGCTCAAGAAGGAGCAGCGCAAGGTGCGTGCCGCGGGGTGACGCGCCGCTGTGTTTCACGGTGCCCCATTGCCATTGTCGCGCGGTCGGATTCGTCGAAGCGTGATAGGTTGGCGGCAGCTTCGGGGAGGCCTACATCCAACAGTGGATCGATGGTGGCCGACGATGACGATGAAATGACATGTATTCCACCTTTTTTACGTCGCGACTTTGTGCTTCGGTGTACTTAAAATGTGGGTTTTTGGCGAGATGCATTCAATTTATTTCAGCAGGAAGGGCCCCAATTAGCTGCTCAGGCTCTGCTTCATGGTCGTCCTGGGGTTTACTTAAAAGTTAATCCCCAAAGTAGTCGACTGGATGTAAGCCAGCCAGACGAGCCTTGATGGGAACGGGCCGTGCGCCAGAGAGGCTCTCTGGAGCTCTCCCGAGCGGCGATTGTGAGCAACCAATTGTAGGAGACTTGCACCTTTAGCCGTTGCCATATGCTGGGGCCCCTAGCGATGCGTCGGTTCAAAGTGGATTCTCGCGTGAGGTGGCCAGGTGACTCGGGGCGGGGGGGGGTGCCAGAATTGTCTCTACTCAGAATCCTCTTTGAACCAAGGCAGCCACCTGCGGTCTTGCTAACTCTTTCGGGTCTCCAAACTATCAAAAAGTCACCGGGTATCGCTGGACGGACTTTCTGCAGTTTTCAGAAATGTTACGAGACAATTAACCGTGTATTAAACGTAATCCACCGACACGGGATTCATAATCCAAACCTGAGTCCGCTACTAGATCTTTGTAATGTCCACGGCCCAGAAAGTCTCTGAATTGTTTTCGCTTTGACATTTTGGTCACGGGGAAACTCAGAAAGTCGCTTACTATAGCGACAGCATCGTTGAGTTGGCAACACGACGGGTCGCCTGTGATTAAAACCGAGTTGGCAAATGTAGTGAGCCTACAGTTTCCGCTGTGCTTGCAATTGACACACGAAGGCACACTTCTGTCGTGACTCTGCAGTCGGTCACCATTACCATTCCTCCTGATCGTGTCTTCGTACCATAGTTGTTAGTCTTTATTCTTTATCTCGGTCCGTTCTGTGTTTATAGCACGATCTTTATAAGAAATGTAAAGAACTCTCCGGAAATAATTTGTTTTGAGGGCAGCGAAATCTGCTTTGGCCTTCTCTTGTATGTTCGCAGGAACCACCGAGCTATATGTAGTCGTTAAGATCTAGTTTATATCTGATTCGTTGTTGCTGTGATGTCGTGAGACATGTTTCAGAAAGCGGGGTCAGGCGACACGGTTCTTCTTACTTCCTGGATTTTATCCTGACTTCCTGGATCTTGTCCTGAAGATGCTTGATGTAGTTTCTAGCGAAATTCAACGTATCTGATCAATAAACCTGGTTACGAGAGTTGCTCTTCAGCTTCAACAGTGAGTTGAAACGGTAACTATCGGCGTGCTTTGTTGAACGCTTGTATTCGTGACAATTTAATTTGTTTTGCTGTGTCGGGTGGTGGAGGGTCTTGTAACAAATTTGGCCGGATCATTATGTGGCCTAGCCTCAAAAAATCTTATTTCGAATTGTAGCATTTGCTGCGAAAACCCACAGCAACGTATTACGTTAATTCGAGGATTTCACTTTTGAAGATGCTGAGGGCTTTAAAGCCGACGTGGCGATGACGCTGATTACATTTGCGGCTGGACAGTATTCAGGGTGGCTCGTGGAAACCGCGCGACCGCTCGCCGCGATGAATCGGCGACCTCCCTTGGAGGGGCCCTCGTTACGGGACGCTTGGAGCCGCACCCCTGCGGGTGTAACCAAAACAACTAATAACCCCCCCTTCCCCCTGCACCGCGGAACGCGCAGGTGGAGCGCGAGAAGAAGCGGTTGGAGCAGTTGGAGCGCAAGAAGGAGGCCCAGCGGCTGTTGGACGAGGAGCAGGCCAGCCTGAAGGGCCGCGCCGCCAAGCAGGCGGCCGCGGCGGCGGCGGCGGCGGCGGCGGCGGCGGCGGCGGCGGGCGGCGGCGGCGGCGGCAAAGTGACGCGAGCGCAGATCGGCGAGGCGCTCAAGCGCGAGCAGGAGGAGCGCACCAACGGCTCGGACGGCGAAGGTGAAGGCTGCCCGCTGCGACGGCGACGCTTGGCGCCCTTGGTCAATTTGGACCCGTGAGGCCACCACACCAAGGCCTTGCTCCTTCATGAATGACATCGGCGGCTGGACGCCTGTGGAAAAAGGAGCTTTAACGCTCGTCGAATTCCTCCCGTATGAATAACGATTCCGATTCTGTAATGAGCAGGAGATTTTAAACATCCACTGTGATGCAGGCGGCGCGTAGTCGTTCATGGTTGATACAACAAAGTATTCATAAGGGGAGCTGTCAGATTTGAACCGCTACTGCTGGGCCACATCGCTGCCCTATACCAATTTATAATGCTGAACTGAATTGTCACGTGGGAGCGAAACGTCAGACATCATGCCGAACAACACGCGTGATAACGATCATGATGATGCCAGATGGAGGTCGCCGGATGGCTCGGGAGGTCAAATCGTTGAGCTTGCACCGTCAGTTATCAGTGAGTTGATGGTACGAGCCTGGTCACCCACCCATATTGTACATAGATACTCAGACTTCGTAGAGGCCCCGTAGACTGACAGAGAGACACATAGGCACACATAGGCTGAGTTGTGATTAAATCGGGTTCTAAAGAGTGGTGATTTAATTGGTGTCAGCCCGGTTACCAGTGACTTGTGCAGATACCAAAAGGCTGGTGCAGAGAATCGACCCGTAGACTTCCATACGACCCATACACTTTTAATGCAACTCACAGACTTACAGAGAGGCCTATCGTTTAACAGAAATCACAGGCTAGCATATTAACCCATATTGCCACACAGACTGAAATCGATTTCTCAGTTGTACTTGATGGTCTTGGCCTGGCCGCTGATGCCTACAAAGACACACGGCACTTAAGTTGCCCATATTCCAGCTTTGAGAATTTAACATCAGGTTGGCTGTCGTGCAACTGATGGCAGTGCAACAAATATTGCCATCAGTTGCAGTCGTGGATTTGAAAAGTTTCTTGAGAAAACGTCTCGCTGAAGGTGAGTAGGGGTAAAGCTAGAAGGCAAATTATAATTTGCATGATCTCATCAGCTAATGCCTGCGTGTGCTGACCTGCACGGACTACCAATACCGCTCGAAATGAGTTTTATTGTCCCTGTATGTACGGATGTATGTACGGATGTACGTATGTTGAACCCCTTTTGCACCGTACGTAGCCAACCATGCTGATCGGAGGTGCAGTAACAAATGTCATTTTATTCACTGTATGATTCATAAATCAACCATACCATTTAACCTGGAGCATCCTTGCAAATAAGACCCAAGTTTCATATTATTTTAACAGAATATAAAAAAATATCATTACTTCCCGGTAAAATACAGTTTGTTTAACACGTAGGTTTTCGTGACCAAAATCTTCCATAGTCGAGGTTTTTTGGTTTAGATCGCGTACTCAGATTGTAAATGTTGTGGCTTGGCTCTCCAACACACCGGTGTGCTGTACTAGTGAAGAATTGGCTGCGTCGGGTGGTGGCGGGTTTAACAACACATTTACGTGATCTAACCGAGGAAACCTCGATTATGGAAAACACAGTAGTACTACAAGGGATGTTGCTGCGGTGTCACGGTTAGCGCACTGGACGTTCTCCGGTCGATTCGGGAATCAATTTAGAGGTCGCCGTTTCGATTCCATCTCCCGGCCCGGCAGCACTAACAATGGGGCAGGTTTCTTAAATTCCCCCACCCCCCACCCCCCCCCCCCAATCATCATCCTCACCGCCTCGGTCCACTCAGCAGTCTGATTGGGTTCACCCACGGTCAATTGGCAGGTTGGCGAGTGTGGTGGGGTAAAGCATGGGTACGCCCACCTCTTACAGGACGCCTGGTCAGCGTGCAATATTAGCCCAAATCCCAAATACTAAAACTAAACTGTTATTTTACCAGGCAAGGCACACTGAGCTATGTAGCTCTTTTTCACACGTGACCTGGCGACAAGTGATAGCTCTACGTAGTGGCTTATCAGCAGCCAAATATTCTAAAGGCAGCAGCCAAATGCGGTTGGAAAAACCGGAGGACCTTGATCAAAAATCCACGCCACCATGGGGAGAGAGAGATAGAGAGAGACATGTAATCTCCAAATATACAGCAGTCGTCAGGGTCGGGATTGAATCCACGACCTCCTGCATATCAGGCGAGGTAGTTAACATCTTGCCACCGCGGCGCCCTCGAGTGCTCCCTCTAGCGGAGAGGCCCCCTTCCGCCAGCAGTCGCGTGAGCGATCGAGAACACTTGCAGGGCTGCGCCTTTAACCTTTTGAGCCGAGCAACGTGGGCGAACACACCATACCATGCCGTGCCCTAGCGCCCCCACCACCGCTGTGTCGTTTGAACGTCTCGCGCGTGCCAAGCGGAGCGGTCGTTAACAACAACAATAACAACAACAACAACAATCGCAACAGAATCGTTGACCGGGCAACTCGACGCTTGAGAAACGGGAGAGGGGGAGAGCGTGTGGGGAGGCTTGGGGGGGGGGGGAGCTACGCGATTTGTGAAACCCGGTTACCGGTTTGGCGGTGTTGCGTTGCCGTTGGAACGACGGCCGTTTTGCCCGAGCCGCCCGCGGTGCCGACGCTCGCCTTCCCCCATTCAGGCGGCGTCGCGGGCAAGGCGGTGACTCAAGCCGACCAACCGCTGGAGGAGAACATCAACCGGCTGGTGGCTGCCGACGACGCGGTGGAAGCCCGGTCCGTGGACGACGCCATCGCGGCCCTCAGGTACGTCGCTCCGCTGCTCGCCTGTTCTTCGGGTCGTGATGGGTTCGATCCCGACCCTGACGCCTGCTGCTGTATATTTGGAGTTTGCGTCTCTCTCTCGTCATCATCATCACGGTGGCTAGGAGATGTTAACTACCTCGCCTGGTATACCGGAGGACGTGGGTTCGATCCCGACCCTGACGCCTGCTGCTGTATATTTGGAGTTTGTGTGTCACTCTCTCTCTCATCATCATCACGGTGGCTAGGAGATGTTGACTACCTCGCCTGGTATACCGGAGGACGTGGGTTCGATCCCGACCCTGACGCCTGCTGCTGTATATTTGGAGTTTGCGTGTCTCGCTTACTGTGGTCGCGTGGATTTTTCTCCGGGTCCTCCGGTTTTTCCCTCCGCATGTAAGATATTTGGCTGCTATAAATTCCCACGTGATAAGCGGCCGCTTCGTCGAGCTAACATTTTGTGGCCAGGTCGCTTCTGAAAAAGAGGTACACATAGCTCAGTGGGGCCTACCTGGTAAAATAAAAAGGTGTAGTTTTAGTGTCTCTCCAGCCCCCTCGGTTTCATTTGTTCACGTTCGTTTCCCCGCGAGGAAAGCCTCACGGAGTCTCTCTTACTTCAGGAGGGTCCTGCAGTAGGGGGCGGCACATAAAACTCCACTCACTCTGGAGAACAAGGGGAGATCATACAAACTCCACTCACTCACTCTGCAGAACAGGGGGAGATCATACAAACTCCACTCACTCACTCTGCTGAACAGGGGGATATCACACAAACTCCACTCACTCACTCTGCAGAACAGGGGGAGAACACACAAACTCCACTCACTCACTCTGCAGAACAGGGGGAGATCATACAAACTCCACTCACACTCACTCTGTAGAACAGGGGGAGATCATACAAACTCCACTCACTCACTCTGCAGAACAGGGGGAGATCATACAAACTCCACTCACTCACTCTGTAGAACAAGGGGAGATCACACAAACTCTACTCACACTCACTCTGTAGAACAAGGGGAGATCATACAAACTCCACTCACTCTGTAGAACAGGGGGAGATCATACAAACTCCACTCACACTCACTCTGTAGAACAGGGGGAGATCATACAAACTCCACTCACTCTGCAGAACAGGGGAGATTATACAAACTCCACTCACTCACTCTGTAGAACAGGGGGAGATCATACAAACTCCACTCACTCACTCTGCAGAACAGGGGGAGATCATACAAACTCCACTCACTCACTCTGTAGAACAGGGGGATATCACACAAACTCCACTCACTCACTCTGTAGAACAGGGGGAGATCACACAAACTCCACTCACTCTCACTCTGTAGAACAGGGGGAGATCATACAAACTCCACTCACTCACTCTGCTGAACAGGGGGAGATCATACAAACTCCACTCACTCACTCTGTAGAACAGGGGGAGATCACACAAACTCCACTCACTCTCACTCTGTAGAACAAGGGGAGACCATACAAACTCCACTCACTCACTCTGTAGAACAGGGGGAGATCACACAAACTCTACTCACTCACTCTGCTGAACAGGTGGAGATCATACAAACTCCACTCACTCTCTCTACAGAACAGGAGGAGATCATACAAACTCCACTCACTCACTCTGGAGAACAGGTGTAGAACATACAAACTCCACTCACTCACTCTACAGAACAGGAGGAGATCATACAAACTCCACTCACTCTGTAGAACAGGGGGATATCACACAAACTCCACTCACTCACTCTATAGAACAAGGGGAGATCATACAAACTCCACTCACTCACTCTGCTGAACAGGTGGAGATCATACAAACTCCACTCACTCTCTCTACAGAACAGGAGGAGATCATACAAACTCCACTCACTCACTCTGGAGAACAGGTGTAGAACATACAAACTCCACTCACTCACTCTACAGAACAGGAGGAGATCATACAAACTCCACTCACTCTGTAGAACAGGGGGATATCACACAAACTCCACTCACTCACTCTGTAGAACAAGGGGAGAACATACAAACTCTACTCACTCACTCTGTAGAACAAGGGGAGAACACACAAACTCCACTCATTCACTCTTGAGAACAGGGGGATATCACACAAACTCCACTCACTCTGCTGAACAGGGGGATATCACACAAACTCCACTCACTCACTCTGCTGAACAGGGGGATATCACACAAACTCCACTCACTCTACAGAACAGGAGGAGATCATACAAACTCCACTCACTCTATAGAACAGGGGGAGATCATACAAGCTCCACTCACTCACTCCGTAGAACAGGGGTAGATCATACAAACTCCACTCACTCTCACTCTGTAGAACAAGGGGAGAACACACAAACTCCACTCACTCACTCTGATGAACAGGGGGAGATCATACAAACTCTACTCACTCACTCTGTAGAACAGGGGTAGATCATACAAACTCCACTGACTCACTCTGTAGAACAGGGGTAGAACACACAAACTCCATTCACTCACTCTGTAGAACAGGGGGAGATCCTACAAACTCCACTCACTCTGAAGGACAGGGGGAGATCATACAAACTCTACTCACTCACTCTGCAGAACAGGGGGAGATCAAATTTCGATTTAAAGCTTTCATGACTGCAATGATTCATCTTCTTTGGTTCTTTCGGTAAAGTCCTCTCACACAGCTTAAAGGTCGTGATCTGAACGTGGCTCTTTCACTCCAGCGCTGTCCTACCAGACAGTCTCGTCCCTTCACCTGATGAAGGCTGCTTGTGTTGTGGCCGAAACGTCGTGAGAATATTATTGTGTTATTTTATTTTATCAATTTATTATTTTATTCTCATTCTACGTGACTTTACCGAAAGAACCAAAGAAGAGGGGGAGATCATACAAACTCCACTCTCACTCTGTAGAACAAGGGGAGAACACACAAACTCCACTCACTCTGTAGAACAGGGGGAGATTATACAAACTCCACTCACTCACTCTGCAGAACAGGGGGAGAACATACAAACGCCACTCACTCACTCTGTAGAACAGGGGGAGATCGTACAAACTCCACTCACTCTCACTCTGTAGAACAGGGGAGATCATACAAACTCCACTCACTCTCACTCTTTAGAACAGGGGGAGATCACACAAACTCCACTCACTCACTCTGTAGAACAGGGGGAGAACACACAAACTCTACTCACACTCACTCTGTCGAACAGGGGGAGAACACACAAACGCCAAAGACGAAGACCTGCACAGACTGCCAGCCCTGGCATTTCTTGCTGAGCGGCACAAGTGTTACCTCTGCACGCCCATTCGTAATTATAATGATTTAATGCGGCGAGTGTTATTTATTTATTAATGATACGGCGCCCTTCATGCCAGGGCGTTTTGAGAGCCTCGACAATGCAATAATAAAGAGTTTATTCATTAAAAATGTTATTTAATCTGTTGCATTTGCCGAAAGGAAATGAGATGGCACACGGAAGCCCGAGCCCCACAAACGAGTGGTGGGAGTCACGTGACGTTCGTTCTGCTGACGTGGCAATGTGACCGCAAAAGGTCAACGGTTATTCATAATATTGGTCGCGAAAGCCCTACAAGGTGTTAAATGTAACAGTGCTGTTTGTTGCTGGCCGCTCGGTGTTTGTCGGACAGATGGAATTCCCTCCCATCATCTCTTTCCCCCAATTATTATCAATAACCTCGCCCGGATTGAACAGCTTGTGTACGGTTCGTATGTATGTTTGTGAGGTGCTCGCTCATAGCACTTGGGCCACCGGCACGTTACAGGCCAGACGCGGGAGCTTTGGGTTAGGGTTAGGGTGTTTGTACCCCAACCCGTTCCAACCCTCATTGACTTGGCCAGAGTGGAGACGGTTCGCTTGCCAGCGGTCATGTGTCTCGTGAATATGTATGCACTGTGCGCTGAACTTCATACACCACCACACGCAGGTAGCCAACCTGGATAGTCGGGGGTGAGGGAGGGAGGGAGGGGAGGCAGAAATTGAGGGGGAAGTGTGTGGAGAGTGGAGGGGAAGGGAGCAGGCGGGGGCAGAGGAAGAGAGGCTACTGCAGACAAGGGAGAGAGACGGATGAGGGAGCGTGGGAACCGGGGGGGAGATGAGATGAAGGGGGAAGGTGGAGAGAGAAGAATGTGTGAGGTTCCCAGGTTTAATGTCTGTCGTTGGAGGGGCGCGGTGGGGTCTTGATAGCTCCCGTACGGACGCTCGAGTGTGAAGTTGTCGCGTCGCCGTCGGGGTGACGTCTCCCTGGAGAGAGCGACGGTAGCCGCCCGCGTCGATCGGACGGTCGAGCGCCCGGAACGTGGCCGACGGTGACCAAACGGGAAACGGGCAAAACGACGTCAAGCACGGCGAGCGGGCGAGCGCCTCGCCTCGCCTCGCCCCGCCCCCCCCCACCCCTCCCTCATCATCTCTCGATGACGTCGCAACGTCGGCTCGTCAAATGTCGACGGTGCACCGCCGCTCTTCGCGGACAATCCGCACGTCCGGGCGGGGAACCGATCCGTGCGTGCGTGCGTGGATTTTCTACCTCGTTACCACCGCCCCGCCAGTTGCATTCCCACGGCGTCGTGGGGTTCGTGACGTCGCACGGCGAATTGAATTTCACGCTCGTGTGACCATCGCGGCGGCCCGGTCGCTCGTTGCCACCGCACGGCGAATGCGGCGACGCCGAGCGTTGATTCCTGGCCGCGGCCCGCGTCGGTGGCGAGCGATGTGTGAACTACTTTTGAGTTCCCTCAAGTCGCCTCTCACGGTCGTGCGTTCACCGCTGCTTGCGGAGGTTCGCGGTTCGAATCCGGCGGCAGCGCTGCGTAATACGGAGACTGCCAGCGCTGGAATTTGCGGTTCAGTCCTGCGTCTGACTTGGATTTGTGTGCGTGTGTGGGGAGCGGTGGCGCGGTGGTTAGCACGTTGCGCTACGAACCCAGTTGCCAGCGTTGGATTCCCGCTCACGACCAGCATGGGTGACGATTATCTGAACCGGTCCTGGGACTCCCCTAGGTCGACTCGGCCTCAAATGTGTGCCCGGTGCGGTGTGTATAAACTTGGCCACGAAGGAGTCGAAGACGCCCGGGCGTGGAGCTGGCCACCCACCGCCTCGTGTGCCGCGTCAGCCGTCATAGGTGCCACTCGCTAACAGCACTTGCCCCAACAGTCTGTTAAAATCTATAGGGGATCTTTGTCTTTGCAGCCGTTGTTGAATCCCCTTTGTGGGGCAGCTTGTGGCTATGCTGCACGTGGTCTGTAAACTCCACGTTCTGTGGAGGCAGCAGCTAGAACCCGAACACAAGTTGTGAAACTCCCCTTCCCCTGGGCTTCAAGGAGGTGACAATTACCCTGGCTCGCCAGGAGAAGTTGGTGCAGCAAGTGGGGACTCATCTGCATCTGCGTCCATCTGTACGGGTATAGAACGTGAAGACGACGTCAAAGGTCCCCCGTATAGCCTGAACAGACTGTTGGGGCAAGTGCTTTTAGCGAGCACCTACGAAGGCCGACACGCCATACGAGAGGGGGTGGGTGTCTAGCACCACGCCTGACCACCTTTGTCATTTTGAGGCTGAGTCGACCTAGTGGAGGCCCAGGACCAGTTCAGATAGTCGCCACTGGGTGTTGGCCGTGAGTGCTAATCGAACCCGGGTCGCCAGGTTCATAGCGCAGCGTAGCGCTAACCGCCCCTCCCACCCACCCACCTCGTCCCTCACGTACGTGTACTCTCACTAATTGGCCACTAGCACCTAAATGTATTCTAAATGTACG